GAAGTCAGGGATCAGAACTGTTCATGAAAAAGGCATTTGATATACCAACTTAGCAAGCCCTTAGCACAGAACTAAATATGTAGTAAGCATAAATTATTTGCCAAATTAACATGTAGATTTTCTAGATTGCTTTTAGTACAAAACCTAATACATAGAATAGATCTTAAGTAAATAGAACAATTATCATGAATCATACAAATTTTTTGTAACAGATGCATTGAAGAGTGAGTGAACTAGGACTTTGGGACTTTTTGGCTATAAATCACCAGTTACACAGATCATTTGAGGTGGTCATATAGTTATAACTGTATTGTTATGGTGTAGTTGTATGTAATAACCTTTTACTAAAAAGACATTTAAATCATCATATATCTCTATAGTAGCAATGAACAGTTAAAAAAGACCATGAAATTTTAAAAATACTGTCATGTATAACAGCATCAAAGAAACAAAATAGGTATAAATCTAACAAAACACATACAGGATCTTTAAACTAAAAACTAGAAAATGCTGGTGGAAGAAACCAGAGAGGACTTAAATAAATGGAGAGACATACTATGTTTATGGTTTGGAAGACTCATAAAGATGTTGATTCTTTTCCCAAACTGATCTATATTTTTAATGCAATTCCAATTTGAATTCTGGCAGGATTTTGTTTAGATACAGACAAACCGGTTCTAAAAGTATATGTAAAAGTACAGGAACTGAAATAGTCAAACAGCCATGAAAAGAAGGAATAAAATGAGAGAAAGTGCGTGACCTAGTTCTAAGACTCACTGTGTAGCTGTGGTAGTGACGTGGGGTGTTGGAGGAAGGACAGCCACAGAGATGAATGGGCAGAACAGAGTCTACAGATGGACCCACAAGTACAACCAATTGATTTTTGACAAAGGTGCAAAGACAATTCAGTGGAGAAAGAATTTGCTTCTCAAAATTGATGTTGGAACAATTGGAAATTCACATGCAAAATATCAACCTCAGCCCCAATCTCCATCTTATACAAAATTTAACCCCAATGGATCATCAATCTCTAACTACAATGTAGTACTATGAAATTTAGGAGAAAATATAGGACATCTGGGGGTAGGCAACAAGTTCTTAGACCTGATGCTGAAAGCATGAGCCATAAAAGAAACAAAAATGGATAAATTGGACCTCATAAAAATTTAAAATGTATATTTTGCAAAAAGCATTTTTAAGAGAGTGAAAAGATAAGCTACAGACTGAATATTTGCAAATCACATAAATGACAGTTAACTGGAAACCACATGTGTAAAGGACTCTCAAAACTCAACAGGAAGAAATCAACAACCTAGCTAAAAATTGAACAAAACACTTGAATAAATACTTCACCAAAGAGGATGTAGGAAAGGCAAATAAGCACATGAAAAGAGTTCAATGACATCAGCCATTAGGAAAATATAAATCAAAACCATGAGGGAGATAACACTGCACACCTAGGATGGCTGGAATAAAAATACTGACGATTCCAAGTGTTGGCTAGG